GTGCGCTCCCGGCCGGCCCGTGAGCACTGAGGCCCGTCCTCATGCACACCTGGAGACGTCTGGGGCGCGGGAAGCCCCTGTAATGCCGGTGGCCTTGGCGGGGCTCCTCCCCGGCCGCGGCTTCCTCCGGTGAGGCTGAGAGCGCGTCTGCCGCGGGCGCAGCCCTAGGCGCCAAGGGCAGGGGCGCAGACGCGCACGGCCGTCGGGCCCGGGCTCGGCTGCTGCACTTGGGGAAACATCCCTCCAGGTACCGGACGCCTCGAAAGGTCGCAAGGCTGCGGACCAGGGCGTCTGTGCGGCCCCGACTTGGAGGGCAGCCGCGGCGGCCCCGACCTTGCCTCCTCCTCGGATCCCGCGCAGTGGGAGGAGGGAGGGAGGCGCGGGACCCCTGCGCCCCCCGCCGCCGCGCCCCCGGGCCGGGTCTCCGTCCCGCGTCCAGACCAGTGTCCCGGGCTCTCGGCGCGTTATTTTCTCAGCAGGGACGGGATGACAGGAGCCCAGGGCTTTCCTCCCCCGTTCTAGACCCTCTGCCCCTCTAAGATCTCGGCCGAGAGGTCCAAGTGTTGAGAAATCTTGTCCCGAGGGCCAGTGTCTCTAGGAAGGATCATGTCCTTGGAAAAGCAGAGTAAGTTCTGCCGCCACTTCTCCCGGGGACCTGGCTACACCCACCTCCCTTTACCTGATCTTCGTAACCCGGGGACCTCACCCCGAGGACTGAAAGACTGGACCCTCGGGTGGTCCGCGGGTGTCAAGTCCTCAGGAGGTCATCTTTTCAGTGCGGTCACTCGCCGGTTGTAGCATCAGTTTAGCAGAGCAACTTGAACATTAGTCGGGTCTTGTTCTTCAAAGAATTCAGAGTTTGAAACACTTAAAAAAAATTTAATTATAGCCTGGCCAGCGTGGCTCAGCGGTTGAGCATCGAGCTGGGATCCAGGAGATGGCGGTGGGACTCCGGTCGGGCACGTGCCGGGGGTGTGCGCTCATCCCCAGCGGGGGGCGCGCGGGGGGCAGACAGTCAGTGACTCTCATCATCATTGATGTTTCTCTCTCTCCCTCTCCCTTCCTCTCTGAAATCAATAAAAAATATTTAAAAAATAAATAAAAGAGAGAACAGGCTCTGAAGAAGGCAGAATGTAGCTGCACCGCTGTAAAGCAGGTAGCCTTGGGTAGGACTGAGGGGAAGGACACTATTTGGAATTGGCACCACTGTAATGTGGGGTAGAATTACTTTGAGGATAGCCCTGAGATGGTGAATACATCTGTACACCCATTTATCGAGTTGCTTAATAGTCAGGATAGGAGTATTTTAGTATTAGTGCCTGGTGGAATGAGTCCTTTGTCTGCTAGTCCTTTCCCTATGGCCCTCAATTGTTTTCCTTGCTCCAAGGGTAATACGCAAGCCTGGGTAAAGTTGGGATGGGTCAGTCTGAACCTTGATGTGCTCAGCCCCAGTAATCCTGAAAATGATGGTAAATCTTTGGCCCATGAGGACTCTGGGACCTCACAGAGATCTTCAAATCGCGTCTGATGTGTGTATTTGTGTCCATATTAGCTACAGTCTGGTTACGGATAGGGACCTCCTCAGGAATTTCAGGGACGAGATCCTTTGTAGGAAATCTTAACCTGGCCATTCCATTTCCACAACGAATCTTGCTCTTCATTAGATTTCTGGTGTGATCGCACAGGGGCAGAGCATGTTTTCAGAAAAAGACCAAGAATAACCGCAGTTGGGACACAGGATGTGTGAGGGCTGTTGGAGACGCCCCCGCCTCCTGGCTTTTCGCTGACTCCAAGGGAGAGGGGTGGACTTGGCAGCAGGTTATTTTTGAAAGTGTGGCATCTGCACCTGTAAGGAAACAGTGACTGTGGCCCAGAACTGTTCATGATCATTCTTCTTGTGAGTTCGAAGGGAAGAACCGAAAGTCGGGTGTCACCTCCCTTAGAACCTTCTTACTACCTGCTAGATTTTTCCTTGCCCAGAGTGGGACAGTTGGTGTTGCAGCATCTCTTTATTCATTGCAGCGGCGAGTACCCTCATCAATGGGCATTTTTGCAGGGAGGCATTGGAGTGTCTGGGGTCATTCAGGTTAATTTCATAAGCTATTAACTTGCTTAGGGTCCAACTCCATTTTTGTTCTTCGACCTTCTCAACATGTTTGGGCAAATGTCACACTATCAGAGGAGCTACTGCTGTTCTAGTCTTGGACCACCAAAGCCCTGGTCCCTGGCTTAAGGCTGTTGGTAAAAAACGAGGCTAGTGTGGCAAAAGTGTCTGTCTATGGGTCTATCTCGGATTGTTATCTGAAGGTGATTGCTAAAATCCTCAATGAATTTTCTTTTTTTCTTTTTTTTAAGAATTAATATTTAGTCAATCTTAATTCAAAATAAAATGGGTATTGCTTTCAGTAAGGACTGCACCACATTTTGTGCTTTCTTTAGCCCCTGTTGTTTGGTGGACCTCAGGAATACACGGATTGTTTCCTAGGTCCTTCCAATGGACCTTTCAAGCTAGGGCTGATCACCCCAAGGACCTATTAATACGTGTGCTAGTTGGTGGAGGCTGGGATCATAGCTCCCCTGCACTATCTTAAATTCTAAGGTTCTTCCTATTAGCCATAATGGCTGACCATTAAATACCAAATTAAGCAATTACATTTGCTGTCCTTCCCTTTTGCCCCTTGTTTTAAGGTGCTCACAAGATGAACAATTTTGGTCATGTTGAAAGTAAGTTCCTCAAATTGAAAATGGAAAGGTCCTCATGTTGAAAGTTCCACAGTTGGTAAATCATGTCATTTTGTAAGATACGCACCAGAATTTGAGTTATAATGAGAAAATACATAAGAAACAGGTGTTTAGCCTGCTGGAGGTCTGGGCCTGGACTGAGATGGCCCCATAAAAATTGAAAATGTGCTGGCTGGGTAGCTCAGTCGGTTAGAGCGTTGTCCCAATATGCCAAGGTTTCGGGTTCAATACAAGAATCAACCAATGAATGCATAAATAAATGGAACAACAGATTGACGTTTCTCTCTCGCTCTAAATCAATAAAAAAGAAGAAAGAAAGAAAGAGAGAGAGAGAGAGAGAGAGA